CTGCTGACTTTGAGTTTTGTTTGTGTAACGAACTCTATGCTTTGAGATAAAATTGATGCAACCAGTTTATCTTGAAAGGTGCACTCTTAGCCTTCGGACCACTAATGGTAGCACCATGTTTCTGTGAAGACTTCATGACTCTAACATGAGCTGTTTACAACACACAACTGCATCCACAGTAGCTGTGGTCAAAGGCATAAGCATGATTCAAGCCCATTCACAACTGCTATGGTGTCTAGCTCTGTTTCTATTGGTGTATTTTTGAAGAAACCAGGCAGCTATTCCATAATGCCACGGCAGAGGTAAGAGGGCTTGAAGACATGCATCCAGGGTGGTGTCAGTAGGATCCAGGAGCACGTGCTTTGGGTTGTCCTTCTGCAGACAGAAAAGAAAAAGGAGGGACTGGGTGCACAAGGAAGACAAGGGCCAAGGGCCAGCAGTCAGAGACCACGCAAAGAGGTGCAGGAGCAATGTCTGAGGGCAAATTGAAAGGCCATTTAAACTTGTGCAGCATTTACACTTGCAATTTGGGAGTGTTCTCCTGAGAAGAATGTAAAGAAGAAGAGCCGAGAAGTAGTCACAAGGAGCAGCACTGAAGGCAGGTGCATAAAGGGCCCCTTTGCTTGACCAGCATTTCCTGCTTAGACTCCTGGTACCCACCAGTGCTCCCATGCTGGCAATCCTTTCCCCATAGCTGGCATCTCCATAAAGTCTCTACCATGTGGATCCTCTCACTTCTAGCAGTAAAGGCTGACCTCACGTGGCAGCCTCACTAGCCTGGTAGCTCGATTCTCTCCCTTCAAACTATCTGTCTGCGTTCGTGAAGCTGTGGATTTCATAACTGAGATCGCTGCCCTGCCTGAAGTCTGCGATCAACATAAGGCTCCGGAAGTTATTAACAGTGGGTGGTTAGTGTAAAATGATTGCAGGAACATCTTTTCCTAGGAAACCAGATTAAAAATAACTACAAACAAAGGTTGGGAATTTAGAATACTAAGTATTTAAATGAACTCATTCTGATTTCTTTTCAGTAATTAAAATAAGTGGTGGATTGACTGCATACACAAACTCCATTTTTTGCTAGTGGAAACTAGAAGATGCCCAACTTTCCCAGTGAAAGATGAAAGTAAGGAACCACAAAGAAAAGGATGGATCGTGGACGTTGTACAAAGAAGGCAGAGTATGCCAAAGTCTCCAACAGGCAGCATTTTGTCACGAACAGTGACAAGAATTGCCAGCAGCCACAGCTCTTCCTAACAGATGACTGCTGTCTATATACTCAGTGCTTCACACTGCAGTTTCTGAAGTTTCAGTGCTTGGTCCCCTCATCCACCAAGTGTCCTTCACAGGGTATCAGAAAGGACCTGGAAGAAACCTTAACCACCTACATGAACTCATAAGCCATGAAAGCATACACCCCAATGCAGTTCAAAGCCAACAAGGGGCAGGAACTCCACACAGCTGCAGTACCTCCCCTTGCAGTGTATGCCCACTGTTATTTTTGCCAGCATTGCTTCCAAAGACAGAACTTCTTTTGATTAAGATGATAACAATGAAGGATAAGTCACAAACCTCACAGCAGGTCTGTTCACTGCATTTTAGATTCAAGCCCCTATTCAGCAACACATTCAAAAGTGAACACCAAATCAGTAAACAGCATCTACTACTTTCCCTGAGGGACTAACCTACAATTTATCACTTTGTGGAATTATGATCTAGTGCATGCTTTGAGCCAAACTTCACTCTGCACATTACCTGTATAGATCTGAATCTGTCCTGCACAGACATGTGAAGTGTCAAAATAGTAGGCACGAAATACTTCAGCATGAGATTACACACAAACATTCAGCAATGCAGAGGATAATCCTCAGGTAGCAGACTGTTTATTCTGGAACTGACAAAAAATAATTAAAACCAAACAGGTACCTGAGAAAGCCGGACGTGACAGCTGTCCTTTTATTATGTTGTGATCCCTGATCAGAGTTCATTTCACAGAGAGAGGAAGTGGAGACATTCAAGGTCAGTCTTGATGGGGCTCTGAGCAAACTGACCTAGTTAGAGATGTCCCTGCTTATTGTAGGGGGGTTGGACTAGGTGACCTTTAGAGGTCCCTTCCATCCCAATACATTCTATGATTCAATGATAATAATTCATATTATTTTGATATTTTTATTTCAAACTTGGATCTGATTTCCCTGAATGCTTCAAATCCACCCCCTTCCAACTAAACCGTAACAAAATTAGGATAACACAGTCCCTCTTGATTTTGCTAGAGGGTATTTATTTTTACAGCCATACTGTGAGGTTTTAAAGAAAACAGTAGTTCAAGCAGTTCAAAGCAACCATGGCCTGAATTTTCCAGCACAGATGCCTAAAGAGAGGCACTAAGGATGCATATTTAGGTACTACTAAAATGTTACTGCCAAGTGACGTAAAAATATAGTTAGTAAATAAACTGCACCATCTGTACACTACAACCATTGCCATGTTATCTCATCGGGAAGGAATTTATAAGATCTTCTTTTAATTTGAAGTTACTACATCTAAAATAGGACTATTTTTGTAAAGAATTGCACTTCACCATTCAGTATGCTAGTTTTTGGCCCTTTCTACTTCTGCCTCAGCATCCTCCACTGCTTTTTTCCATTCAAATGCTCTACTCTAGCTGGAACGCATAAAACTTACTGCCGCTGTACTCAGAAGACAGAAGTCAAGTTTATTTCTTTTCTACAAGATCAATCTTTCTACTCCCTGCTTCAGTTCCTAGCACTGCCCATTCCTATACTTTTTTTTTGTGATTCGATCCTTTGATATTTTCAATTTTCAGCAGCAGGAAAATGTTGCAAAAGCAACACTCTGACCTCCATCTTTTACCTTTCGGCTTATTAAACTGCAACAGAGCAAATAGCAGCTTGCCCCTATTTAACTTGCCTGTTAACAGATGTGCCTTTTCCCTTCCCACATCATGACGGTTAACCTTGGTATGAGTCAGGTT